TATATATATATATTGAAACGCACACAACTACTTGACATATTTTAACTTGTCACGTCCCATTATAATATCATATATATCAATTATTTATAAGATTAGATAACTAACTCATATAATACGATAACTAACTCATCATTTCGAATATTTTCATCTATTTTTTTACACATTTATCAAAATATAATATTGAGAGCAGTTATTCGAACAATTTAAATATACCCGAAATAATCTATTTTTTTCTGCTTGCATTTGACAAAATTTCAATGCATTTTTCAAAAGTAGAATGAATAAAAATTTTAACTTACATAACGAAAAATTATTTCCTAGTAACAAATATAAATATTACATATTTATTTGAAATAAAATTTAATGTATAAATAGTTCAGAAACTAACTTGTCAACTTTATTCTTAACGAAATAAAACAACTTTTAAAGAACAAATTTTATTAAAAGTATTACATGCTCTAATTGTAATTCATTTCGCAATGTTTCTCTAAATAATTACTACGTTTTTATTTGCTTTTTTGAGAGTGAGGGGGTAATCTTGCAATCGAAATTTTGAAAACTCTTCGGCTATATAAAATGTTCAAATCTTTAGTGGAGCTTCGGGCCTACGACAATGTAATCTGTTCAAGCAGAATGTAGGGAAATTTTATAGCTAAAGAAATTTTGCTGAATAAATTTCTATTCCTTTAATTGTTTTGAATCAATTATTTATTAATGTTCAATTATTTATGTATTTTTTATTTCAAGCAAACTATTAGATAAAAGCAAAAATTGGTTCAACGTTCAATAAAAATAATAACGTGATCTACAATATCTTGATTTGCAGTGGCCTGAATATGGTGTTATATTGAACCGTGTTTGGAGGATATAGCATCAAGTGAAGTTGGAGGATAAGATGGAGGGTAGCATCGATAAGTTGGAGGATAGCATGGAGTGATCAAATTTCAAATAGCAATTTGCAACAAGTTTAAATATGCCATGTTTCACACAATAAAATTTCTGAAAATCCAACATTTATAATAACCCAAAAATAAACCGAAGCCTAATTTTATCATCATGAAATTGTAAGAAGACAGAAAGAGAATAGGGAACTAAAAACAATAACTTGAACCACAATGTCTTGATTTGCAGTGGCCTGAATAAGATGTTAAATTAAACTTCGTTTGATTTCAAGTTGAAGAATAGTCACGAGAAATCAAATTTAAAACATTACTTACTTTGCAGCCAATCTAAATGATGTTATGTTTTATGAACACACTATAAAATATCCGAAAATGTAAAGTTTATTGTAACCCAAAAATAAACCAAAGTTTAATTTTCTCATCGTAAAAGTATTAGATAGAAAGAGAATGAAAAGTTTTGAATAATAAAGTATTAACAAGCAAGAAAAGAACTCATTTTAAAGTAACATAGTGTAATAAAAGAAAATTGATTTTATAGTTCTACGCAAACAACCAAAGCGAACAAATAAAAAAAGAATTTAATCTTAAACACAAAACATTTCATTACCTTTATATTCGAAAACCGATTTATTCTGAAAGATTATCTTTAAATAGAAACCATTTGTTCGAAAAATGTCTCACTTTCTAACGACAACAATGTAGTAAAATGTTTAAATCTTCCTCAAAACTCAATCTTATCAAGAGAAGCGACGTTCACTTTCATCCTCACTATCTTTAAAAGTGTTCCGGTTTTTAAATTTTATTAATTCTTGAAAGAATTTGGCCAAAAACAAAACATGTGACATAAACTTTAAAGTTTGTAAGCGATGTATTTCTTATCTTTGAAAGAAAACACAACGGAGTTAAAAACCTCGTGATTGTTTGGTGTTGACTGGGATCGAAGGTAGTGATTCAAAAGATACCTACGACGCTCATCAAAATTATTTAAATAGTTTTGGGAATCAATCGTTATTCATGCACCTGACAAAAACAAATTTAATGATGCGTTTTCTGCTAGATAAGTTTCCTAACTTCACGGCGTCAAATTTAATATTTTTAACGTTTCGCTTAAATCATATATATATATATATATACGATTAAAAATGGATGTGAATATTATGAATTAATAAATATGAATATTATGAATTAATGAATAAGAATATTATGAACTAATCAATATGAATATCATGAATAATATTATATATAAATATCATGAATAATAATGGCTTTCATGAATGATGAATAATAATGAATAATACGGATAATTATCAATATTAATATTATAAATATGAACATAAATATTATGAATCATAAGGAGTATGAATATTAGAAATTAATGAATAAGAATATTATTAACTGATCAATATGAATATCATGAATAATATTATATATAAATATCATGAATAATAATGAGCATGAATATTTTGAATAATAAAAAATATGAATGTAAGGAATAATAATGAACATGGATTTTATGAATAATAATAAATATGAATATTTTGAATAATAATGAATATGAATATTAGAAATGATTATGAATAGGAATATTTTGAATTAAGTAAAATGAACATTATGAATAATAAAGAATATAAATATTACGAATATTTATCAATATTATTATGAATGAAAACATGAACATTATGAATAAGGAATATAGATATTATAAATAATAATAAATTTGGAAATTTAGAATAATAATGAATATGAATGTAAGGAATAATGATGAATATGGATATTATGAATATTTTGAATAATTTCACATTAGTATTATGATTTATATAAAATATTATAAAGTTATTTTGAGTTAAGTTCTCAAAGTAATAATCCTAAAAATAATAAATTGGAAAATTTTTGAAATTGCGATTGAAGTTTTAAATATTGAAGTTGAATCATCTTGAATTAACTGGCTTATAAAAAGCCAATCATACTTTTAAGCCCTTAACGTAGAATTTTTATTAAACATATTTTTCTTACTTTTTCATTATTTCACAATAATTTAGATCAAAATAAGTAGAAAATACTATGTTTGGCATTTTAATAATTAATGGTTATGAGACATCGGTGTTGACTATGAGACACCGTGAAATGTTAAATCTTCCAAACACTCTAGGCTCACTTTCTAGAAATAATTTTTCAAATTTGGACTTATTTGCAATAATTTAAACTTAAGAAAAACAGTTCATCATCATTCAAATTTCTTTAATTTTCAAAATCAACTATTAATAAATTATTTGAATATGGAAAAAGCTGAAATTTTCAAATTGTTTTCTTTTTTTTAAGGAAATTATATTTTAGTATAAATATCACTTTTATAATTTAACATGTAGTCTAACAGTTCAGTAATTTTTAGTAATTACTAAGTTTTTAAGAAATATTTTACATTGGAACTACGTTATTATGCACTCAGATAACAAATTTATATATTTTTATTTTGTTTGAATGATTTTATGAAAATTGTATGCCATCTTTACTTAAACGTTCATATAACGCTCCACGTGTTCCAAGTTGATTTTAAATTCCTCTTTAACTAGACAAAAAATATCTTAGAATATGGCTATCAGCTGTTGGAAGTCTGAAAAGTATTTTTCCACCCACTTGTTTAACAGAAAAGGAATTCTCGCAAAGGTAATATTTGTATCAAATCTTATATTGATGCTCTCAGTTGTTAGAAGGTGTATAAGTACTTTTTCTACTGACCTACTTCAATAAAAGGAATTCTATTATTGGTAATATTTGTATCAATTCTCTCTGTTAAATTATTAAAAACTGTTTCGATTAAAGAGTTTTTCTAAGAACTGACAACCTTGTTGTTATATGAGGGTGCTCTCAGTTATAAGAAGGCATTTATGTATTTTTTTCAACCCATCTGCTTCAAAATGAAAGGAAATATTGCAAAGCTAATGTTTATAATAATTCCTATTACTGCATTAAGAAAAACTATTTTGATCAGAAAGCTTTTCTAAGAAATGCAAAATTGTTATTATGTGTGGTTGCCCACAGTTGTAAAAAGGCATTAAAATATTTTTTCCACCCACCTATTTCAAAGGAAATGAACCCTTGCATAGTTAATGTCGACCTCAAATCCCTTTGAATATTTTGAAAAATAATTTTTAATTAAAAAATTTTTCAAAGAATTGAAAGGTTTGTCGTTATATGTAGGGGCTCTCAGTTATAAGAAGGCATTTAAGTATTTTTCTACCCATCTGCTTCACAGAAAAGGAATTATTGCTAAGTTATTGTTTGTATCAATTCCTATTACTACATTAGGAAAAACTGTTTTGATTAGAAAGCTTTTCTAAGAATTGGGAAACTTGTGATGATATGTCAATGCTTTCAATGGAGAAAAAGCATTTAAATATTTTTTCAACCCACCTGTTTTACAAAGAAGGAATTTTTGAAAATGATAATGTAGAAGGTAAACATAAAATTTTACTGATTTTTATCATTCCTGCTTTTAGTCACATAGAAAAGTATTTTTTGGAGACATAGAAAAATATTTCAAGCTTTTATATAGACACAACATATCATTTATCCCCTTTTATTGAATTCTTAACGACAAATGGCTTTAGGCGAGCCGAGGGAAATAAAACCCCTGCAGTTTATTCCATACCATAGAACGCGAGCCAAAAATAGCATCACTATTCACATCTTTTCTCCAGCTTTCAAGAATTGTGAATTTAGATCTTAAACTTGAGCTATGATATATTATCTAGATTTTTTATACATTATTAGGGCATTGTATTCGCAATTTACTTTGAATAAAGTTCCTTTTCTATTATTTGATATTGCGTCGTTGTAACCCATTTAGGAGACATTAAAAGATTTGTAATCTCCCTAATTCATTTATAATTTTGACATTTAAAAGTTAAAATGCTTCTCATACAATTTGGAAATGTTATCCAATAATATTCCACACTTGGTGTTACCTGTAATGAAAGGAGCGATAGTAAATTATTTGTTTGCTCATAGTTTGGAATGATTATCATGAGTTTTCATGTGGAAGTTTTAAATAAGTATCATGAGTTTTTATGTGTAAGTTTTAAAGCAGTATTATGAGTTTTCATGTGTAAGTTTTACCATGTGGCCATACTTAGCTTAGAAACTGGAGTTCTGGAAAATAAGCACTATTATGTAAGCATTTGTACATAAAAGATTTTCAATACTTGTATAGCTAAAAAGGCAGGCACCTGTGAAATATTGTGAGAAATGACTCACAGATTTAAGGCCTATTGTTGAAAATCGTTTACGATTTTCAACAATGTAGGTTGTATTCCCTTTCCTTTTTTTTTCGCTTTTTTTTCAAATTCCAAACCTTAGGCAAAATTTTACATTGAACTATAAAACGACATCTACTCTACTTCTCTTTTGATCTTCGATTTCATTCAGATCAACGGGTACATAGATTTGGTCTAACTTCGTCTGGCCAGATGAGGATAAGCAACAACAACAATAAAACGAAAAATAAAAAACCAGAGTCATTTCCATTGCCCAAGGAAGTCTCTTGCAAGCCTCTTATACCCGCAAAGAGACCAACATTGGAAAAAATGGTGCCTGTTCCATCATTCCTTCAGAATCACATACTGGAAAAAAAGGCTCAATTTTTCAGAAGCAGAGCATAGAGACCACATACTCAAAGTTGTAGATCACTTAAATACCAGAGGCATTTCCGAAAGAGCACAGCTAGGAGATAACCACTAAGGTAGCCCATCTCGAATCCCAGCGATGGCTGATCAATATGAATTCGGCACCCATCTCGCACCGACCACAGTGTCCACCGTACACACGTTAATATCCAAAATGGATCATGTGGAAGAATCCCTTTGCTATTGGACTAACCACGGGAGGTTTTCATGATTTTCCTCTCAATGTAACCAAATGCTTGATCCAGGAGTTACCTTTTTTATTCATAATCGTCGTTGAGCAGTCAACCCAATTTCGATTTTACAACTACCAATGTTCTTGCAATTTGAACCCAATGCAGAAGATAAGGGATGGTATCAAATATTGGGAGAAATAAGCATTCGTGGAGGACTTTTTGGTGGAACCAACCCACATTTTCGTTTACTCAAAGGGACTCTAACTCATGATCCATCAACCACTGAGGATATTGTACGTCAGCACTGTGGTTGATGCTAGCCGGGATCAAAATTCGTATTGGCCAACCATCTCTGGGATTTGAACCCGGTTTACCTCATTGAGACACTAGCGCTCAATATCTGGAGCTACGACGGCTCCCACTGAGTTACTTGTCTTTTGCGTTAAGTTCGAAATTACGAGGCTATGGACATTGTACATTGATAGTTGTAAACTCAGAATTGGATCGGCTGCCAAACACCGGCTATAAAGTGAAATTAAATTAGGAAGTAACAGCTGCGGTAGCTCACGAGATAGAGCTTTCACCTTCCAATAAGGTATCCCAGGTTCGAATCTTAGATATTCCTCGTTGATACAAATTCTGCTCCTAGCTAACACCGACCACAGTGCTGATGCAAAATATAATCAGTGCTAGAAGGATTAAGAATTAGAATTCTCTTTCAATTGGGCTAACCACTGGAGGTTTCGGGGTTTTCCTCTCCAGATAACTCAAATGAGAATTAGTTCCATCAAACAGTCCTCCGCTTTGGCTAGTTCGTTCCAATTCTTGATCTAGAAATTCTCTCGTTTTCGGAGTTGGGTTCAAGAATTCAAAACAACAGAGTGGAGCATTGATAATCGTAAACTTAGATCAGGATCGACTGTTCAACGTCGCTCATAAATTGAAATAAAATATTTGAATGTGGATCTTCTATTGGAGATAAGACGAGATTAATCTACCCTTAATGAGTTCTGAATAATAAGAGCTTTTAGCACTATTATGTAAGCATTTTGTAGATAAAAGTTTTTCGGTACTGGTGCAAGATAAGGAATCAAAAGTTAAACATTTTTAGAAAA